ACGTGGAGAATGAGCTGGATTGGTTAAAGAGGACAAGCAGCACAAGCCTCAGGTGTCGGCCGACAACCAGGAGGCAGGGGCATCCCAGGTAGAAGACGCAAAGCACGCTCCTTTCCCAGTTTGGTTGGCTTCAGGGGTAACCTGGGTGAATCATAGTGTTGAAAACCCAAAGGGGCAGTTTCTAAATGTCTGGCTGAAAGCAGACGGACTGTTGTTTGTATTGGGGAGCTACAGAGGGACCCTGGGCAGGGGAGGGTACAGCTGGAGCTGTACTTTGAGGGATGTTTCTTCAATCAGTGAGAGTCGAGTTGTGTGAATACCCACGGTGACAAGTAGATAGTCGGGGAGAAGATATAGTTGAGGGGTCCAGGCCAGCAACAAAGACCAAGGCCTGATGATGACATCCTAGAATTCTCTGGAAGGCATGTGGATGAGATTCACCACACTCCTTCGTGGAAACGCCAGCAGTCCATTTTAAACCCATAAGACAGACGGGATGCCGTGAGCACACAGCACACCAGAAGGGACAGATCTGTGTGATTACTATGGGAGATGCTGGACGCATTGTAACAGAGACAGCGACATTTCAGAATGAATTGAAACCAGTGGGGAGCATGGGCTCCGGACCCCAGGGAGCATTGGGTGAGTGTCATTTCAGTGCACAAGTGAGGGGCAGAGTCCCAGGGCTCAAAGAAAGGCCGTCGCCCAGGGTGGATGGAGGAGGAATCAAAATTGTGAACACTGGTACACAGGAAGAAACTTTTGATTCTGGCAGAGTGAGTTCGACTAGCTTGGGGCTATTATCCTTCATCTAGAGCTTTGTATACATAACGCATGGTGGGAAGACAGAAAAATTCCTGCCCCCAAGCCTCCACATTCCATATTGGTTAAAAAAAACATAGAGGCAAGAAATATTTGTCCATGTTCTCCCTGGACCTCTGAACTTGCCTTGCGCTCCCAGACTGGAAGACCTTGATTGCCGGGTGGGTGGGAATTTGGCTGACTCCCTTTAATACCACAGACTTAAGGAAAGTATTTC